TGATGTAATTTTCAGCAAAAATGATAACTTTTTGTGTAATTTGGTAGAGGTTTGAATTTGTCTGTAACTAGGTTTAGAAGTGATTAAAGATGCAACATGATGAGGTTATATGGCAAGTTATCAGGCATAAGCATTGCAGCTTCATGGCAAAGTGAGTTTCTTTTTTAGTTTTTGAGTTTCACTTCATATGGTATCTGTTAGAGGTTTTTATTTGATTTTTTGTTGTTGCGATAATTACAGGATTGAAACTGGGATATTTTGTCGAAACCCATATAATGTAACTGGGATTTGCAACCGTAGCTCATGTCCTCTGGCTAATAGCCGGTACGCCACCATTCGGGACCATGATGGTACTGATTTGCAGCTTATTTTACTGTAATTGTTGATATGTTATAAAGATTTTAGCTTTTGTTTAAATAAAAGAACCCGTTAGAGGGTAGCTGCTTTTTTCAAGTTTCAGGTTAAAAAGGAGTAAGAAAAGGCAAGTATCAATAAGTAAATGGTTGTCATTGGAATTCTAAGGAATACAGGATATGAGTTAAACGATCACCCATCTGTAAATAGAAAAGTTTTTTTTGATGTAATCTCATTAAATGAATAACTTGGCTGCTACAGGGATGTCCATATACTTGGATTATACTGATTTTATGTTTTTCTTCTGGGTTTTGAGTTATGAATCACGTGGTTAGCTTGAATTTTTGTTGATGCGGTAAGTCAATGTGGTCGTCTAAATGTTCTGACATTTATAGTAATCTGTCTAAGGAATCTAGTGTGGTTTCATAGGCTGCTCCTGGACTGCTTCTTTGTGTATATTTTTTTGTAGAAACTAGTACTCTGTTAATCATAGGAGTGATTGTGGGTATCTCCAAAGTTTAATCATAAATTATGTACTTTGGTAGAGTTTCTTTTGGATCCTCCGATGAACTCTAGTTGGTTGCATTTGCTTATTTACTTATTTTTTTGTGCTATGCAGGAGTATTCTATTTATACATGAAAACAATAGAAAGGGCTCACATGCCAAACAAACTTTGGGAACGAGTTAAATTGCCAAGAAATTACGAAAAGGCTCTTGAAATCATTGATAAACATTTGGTAATGAAATAGCTTTTTTTTACTTACTGCTGTATACGTTTTGTTCTTCAATGCAATAACTCCCTTCTCCCTTCTCTCTTTGTCAACTACCACAGATGTATTGGCCTAAGTTTCTTGTGCACAAGGCAAAACAACGTTTAACAAAAATGACTCAGATGCGAATAAGAATGAGGAAACTTGCTTTGAAAACAAGGTTCGACTTCCCTCCGTAGACACTTGATATACATTACACTTATCGATTTATTGGCTTAAATTTTACTTTTTATGGTCTTGAGCATTACTATCGAGGAGTTTAAAGGTGCATGCTTCAAAATTTTAGATTCTCGTTTGTTTAATTGATATGAGTCTTCATTCCATTTCACCTTCTCTCACCCTTCTTCCCGAAGAATGAATATTAAACAAGTAATTCCCTGGATTCTTCGTTTGTAAAGGTTGGGAGGATGCTTAGATGCAGTCTAAGTAGACTTGTAGTGAGATGTTCATCTCACAATTCAGAAGTGAAAGGGAGTGCCCTGCTTTGATTAAAGAAGGGTGGGGTTGTGGTGCTTCATCAAAGAGCATTTATTTATTACATCTTCGATAACTATACCAAAGGCCTGCGATATTGGATAAGGACATACCCAGTGTATACAGAATCATAACTATCCCAGCTTATCCAGTTGCCCTTTAGTTCCTGGATATGCAGCTAATTATCCGTGATAGAATTTGTTCTGATATGTTTCTTTAAATTGCATAGTATTGGTATGGCCATCATTTAACTTAAGCAAAATAGTTCAATAACCTTCCTCTATGATCATATCAACGGTCATTGCTTTTGGAAAAGGCCTGGACATCCTTTTATTCCTTCCCATCCTGATTCTGTACACCATAATTGCCATAGCTGTAATAGCACTATGTTTGTCCTATAAGTATTTGATATGACAATGAACTTTTTAACAGCTGGGTGGTTTCGAATTCGATAGTGGGCTTAACCTCCAATGTCAATTAGGTGTTGCTAGGAGAATATTACTGTTTCTCCTAATTCAAACTACTGCTTACAAAAAAGCTTGCTTTAAACCAATGAATTAATGGTGCCAGTTGTGTTTTTGAGATCATAAACACTCCTATCAGCTTTTCAATAAGGGGCTTGTTTACTTCCATTTGGTGGTACAGCCTCCCCTTTAAGAAATAGATCTATGCTTATGGATGTTTCACTGTACACATTTTTCTTCACTAGCTAGTATATGTTTTAATTTGTTGTGTGTCCAGGGAGAAGATAATGACCACACCAAGGAAAGAAACAAAAAGAGAATCTCGGCGACAGGAAAAGGCTGAAAAAGCTGCTCTTCTTGATAAAGTGAGTTTATGCTTGTAATTTGTCCCCTTTTGTTCATGGTAGCTTTGTTGTATTCTTCCTGCTTAGTAGATCATCTGGCTATATCCTTTACAATTTATGCCATTTGTATTCTGCAGAGTATTGAGAAGGAACTGCTTGAACGCCTTTCAAAAGGAGTTTATGGCGATATATACAATGTTCCTGAGCAGAAGTATCAAGAGATTCTTGCTAGGGAAGCAGAGGAAGTGGCTAGTGAAGAAGAAGACGAGGAGGTTTTATTCAAAAGCTTTATGATATTTTGTCAGCATTCCTTGTTTTCCTAGTTTTGCCTTCCTCTCTTTTTATCTTTTTTTTTATTTTTTGCGGGAGAGGGGATTGGTGTGACTCCAGCTTGGAGTTTGGGACTACCCTCTTCTCGTGAAACTTTGGCTGATACAATGAGATGGGTCAATTTATTAATGCTTCTGTTAATGACTGAAATAAACAGGAAGTTGAAGTAGAATATGTTGAAGGCTATGAAGATCTTGAAGAAGAAGACGACATCGAAGATTTTGATGGTTTTGGAATTAGAGACAATGGCTTGGATGCTGATACCGGTAAATTTCTTGATGGATATGCTCTCCTTTGCTCATCCGGTCCCCCCTTCTCACCGTTCTGTTAGTGCAATATATTAATGACACTTCATCCTTTAGCAAGGAGGCAATGCACATTTTCAACTCAGAACTAACACCCCCTATTAGGTTTACCTAGACGCCAGAAAGTAAAAGAATATGCATTTGTATTCTTGTGATATTTAGTAAATGTTTGGACAATACTTGGTTCATGTTGAAAACATAGAGCATTTGAACCTGAAAAAGAGTGCTAGCTTGCATACTTGATGAAGTTTTCTGCTTTTGAAGTAGAAATCACAAATTTGTAGTGGTCACATTCTTCTGGCGTATTGTGAGTTGTGACTGACACACATATTTTATCTTCGACTGAAGCGTTTATTCATGTCTATTGTGTGACGAAGTTGTTACAAAATCAATAATTGTGAACTAGTTGTGTATGATCAGATTCTTGTGTTTCTTATCTAAAGCTTGTCTGGTAATGTTAATCCTTGTCTATGCTTTATATATATAATCATCTGATGTGGGAATCGCTCCACTAGGAATGGATGACGATGACGATGACGAAGAGGCTGTTACAGTTCATCGGAAGAGTGGTAGAAAAGATTCTGCTTTAGCTAGAAGAAGAGCTGAGAAAGATGATCCAAGTGCCAAAGCAAAGAAAAAGGCGAAAGTACTCGTGGAGGTAAAAATTACTAACACATGTTTGTTTCCTAACATATAATAAACTGTTGTGTTTGGGCCCTTCCCAAGAGCCCGTGCATAGCGTGAGCTTAGTCCACAAGACTTCCCTTATTTCTGTTTTCTATTGTGTTCTGCTTTACTGCACACTTAATTCTTGTTTTTGTTTTGAAAAACACTCAATTTTTTTGTTATTCATCTCCTAGGTTGAGCACGACGATACAAGCGCAAGACAGACAACAGTACAATGATAGCTTGGCTTTTTAAGTGGCGAGGCAAAAAGATTTCGTTGGACACAAATGTTACGCGAAGAGATAGAACAAACTGGATCGTACTAAATTTTGATATCGTAGTAACAATTTTCGTGGTAATTGTTTGTATTTTCGAGTAGAAAATAGAGAAGAAAAAAAATTCTTGGGCTGGCCAAATCTGTTTTGGTTAGGCCCATAATCAGTTTGGGTTGTGATCTTTAGGCCCATAACACAATGGCTGGAAGAAATGATTTTTGAGAAGTTTCATTATTTTTAGCAATTGACTTGGTGTGATCGTATCGATAAATTATTTTTCCATTACCTTGGCCTACACACTACAATAAGAGGAAGGGAGAATTTTTTTTAAAAATTTTTTAGGTTATGGATCACAATTTATTTCTTATCGGGTGTTGAATAGGTTATTTCTACGTGTTAAATAATTGTTTTTGAAAATCAAATACAAGGCTTGAATCAAAGTTATTAAGTTTTGTTGAATTTGTAGCTACCACGACGACAATACAATATGATACATTATAATACTGTACGAAACAACATTTCAAGCACTTTCTAACTATTCACTACCGATTGTATTTTTTGTTAGATAAAACACAATGTTTCTTTTTATTATTATTTAAAATTTAGTAATTACATCATATAATTAAATTCATCGTTAGTTAACATTGAAAAGTTTTTATATTGTATAATGATCAATTTAGTGTAACCGTACCGTTATCTTAATTTTTTTTTAAACTGATGGTCTTTTAAAAACAACTCTCTACCCCATAAAGGTATTGGTAAGACGTTTCATACATTATATCCTCCTCGTACTTTGCTTTTGCTGAATTTTACCGAGTATATTGTGTTGTGGTGATCCTATCCGATTTCAAACTCTATTTTTTTTTATAATTTTATCATAAAAATTATTGATATATGACATTATATAATGACGAAGAACGATACAATATATGCGAATATTAATTCAAAGGGGTCGGATTTAAACATAATAAAACTTTTGGGGGTACAAAAATGATTTTCACTTAAATTGGAGACCATGAAAGGAAAATTATACAACTTTATATAGCCCCTTTTTTCCTTCTCATCTGCCAATAAGAAATCTTGGTTTGCCCTAATTTGGTGCAAACTTTTCTATATCCGCCGTCACCTAATTTGTGAATCTATACTCAAATTCAACTTCTTGTTTCTTCAAAGGTATAAGAAAATCCTCTCAAATCTCATTCTATTGAATGTTTTAGTTTAAGTTTTGTTGAAAACTATCATGGGTTTCTTTGAATCTGTATGTTCTAAGTTTTTTTTTTTTGAAGCATTTTCTTTCTCTTTTTCTTGTGGGTTTTGCTTATTATGGTTGTTTGTTATGTGGGTGTGTGTTAGAATTGTTAATTAGCTTTTGGGTTGTTGTAAGTTGGGTTTTTTGTTAAGATCTTGTGAACTGAATTGGACTAATTACCTATTTCTATACTTGTTCTATCTGGGTTTTGCTTAGAATGATTGTTTGTTATGTGGGTATGTGTTTAGAGTTGTTTATTAGATTTTGGGTTGTTGCAAGTTTGTTTTTTAAAAAGATCTTTTGAGCTGAAATTGACTAATTATTATTTTTGTACTTTGTTCTATCTGGGTTTAGCTAAGAATGATTCTTTGTCATGTGGTTATATGTTAGAATAGTTAATTAGCTTTTGGGTTGTTGCAAGTTTGGATCTTTGTTAGGATCTTGTGAACTGAAATGGATTAATCACCTATTTCTATACTCGGAGGGAGTCTTTTAGTCTATCTAGTGATTTGTATGTCATTAGGAAATGTAGAGAGGTTCTAGTGTTACAAAACCTCAGATTATTTGTGGTGGGATAGGTCTGTATAGAGAAAAATGGTGGGGCCCTGACTAGTTGGGGTTGAGGGGTAGTTGTTCTTGTATGGTGGATGTATAGTGGAAGCAAACAGGTGGTCACGGGTTTGAGTGTGGAAACAGCCTCTTGTATGAAGTAATGCAGGGTTCTTTTTGGGGTTTTTAGTTCTAAGCTTTGTATTGCTATATCAGAGTGTGGTTAAAAATCTTGATTCTATGGAAGTTAGAAAGCGAGGGTGTATATCTGGAAGATTCTATTAATAGACCGAGATTTTAGTGAAGCTCCTGTGGTGTATCAAATATTGGGATTAACTTTAGGTGCTAGAAGCTCCATGTTTTTGAGCTTTTAGCTTTCTCATCTATGCAGTGGTTTAATTGCTTTTTGGTTTAGACATTGAAATTGAAAGAGGGAGTTTTTATGCTGGGATTGTCTAATCGGGCATTGTCAAATCTTATTTTATTTTCCTTTTTGTTGATTGTAGCTTTTAAAGGAGCTGCATAGTGAGTCTGTTTGATATTTGATGATTGTGAATTTTGAATTTAAATGTTCTTATTTGAACTAGTTATTTGTGTGTGTTCATAGACAGCCATATTGAATCAACATGCACACTGATTTTCTTTAAATACTATTTTATGCCTTAGTTGTTTTTTCATTTTTTATAACTTTATTTTGCTCTGAGCACACCTTTTATGTGGTAGTGATGTCCATTTTTAGTTTATTAAGGGTGTTGGAGAAGTATATGATGATCATTACAACTTGGAATGCTGATATGACAGCAACTTGTTTTGTATTCGTACTGTCTGATCACTTCTGCAGTTACCACCAAGATTGTTTTTTGTCAATTGTTCTTAATGTTGCTTTGTAGTGATTTGACTACATTTTTTATTGTCTTTGCACTTATACATATGTTTTAGTCTCAAACTGAACCAGAAACTGTTGGTGGACTCCTTCAGTGTCCTGTTATTTGTTGTTTGAAATCTTCTTCTTTTTCATTATTCAGTAGAGCGAGATGATGAATATTATACTGTCATTACTGTTGTATGATACTATTCATCATGTATTTGTACTGGCTGATCGTTCTTCTTGAATTATATTTTTGTCTTGGAGTTTTTATTAATATCTGGTTATTATTTTTATTTTGGGATTTAAAATGAACTCCTTGAACTATGTACTTTTTGAGTATTGCTTAACATTTGAAATCTTTCAGTCATATTGATGCATCACATTCTGAACCAACCATCAATTTGGAGAATGAGATGATGAGTGTTATACAAATTTGATAGCTGATATGATGGCATATTATCATGTATTAGCTCTAGCTGATCATTCTCTTTTGGGTGACCTAAATTGGTTCTTTGTGTGTATTGAGTAGTCCTGTTAATGCATTTGATTGACATGCTTTAACGACCCGTTGATCTCTACCTTATACAAGTTAAAATATTAAATCAATTGTCTTGAAACTTTTACCTTTTGACATTTTATCCTCCTAATATAAAGTAGTTCTTAAGCCAATTTTTTGCTTGTTGATGCACTTCTTTAACATGAAATAAGTCAATATGGTTTTAAATTGAGAATGATATGATGAACTCATACTAGTGATTGCTGCTGATATGATGGCATTTTATCATGTATTAGCTCTAGCTGATCATTCTCTTTTGTGTGCCTTAAATTGGTTCCTCCTGTGTGTTGAGAGTAGTCTTGTTATTGCATTTTATTGATATGCTGCATTGACTGGTCAATCTCTACCTTACACAAGATATACACATACAGTTTGAAATATTATATGAATCGTCTTCATACTTTTACATTGACATTTTATCCTCCTAATATGAAGTAATTCTAAAGGCAAAAATTTGCTTGTTCACACTCTTCTTTAATATTAAGTAGCTCAATATGGTTGTGGATCGAGAATGATATGATGAACTTCATACTAGTGATTGCTGATATGATGGCAGTTTATCATGTATTAGCTCTAGCTGATCATTCTCTTTCTGTCCACTCTAATTTTGTTTTCTTTCTTGAATTGGTTCCTTTTTCTTTTAACAACCTAACATTATAGCATCTTAGCTCTTATAATTAGTTTCTTGGTTTTCATCACATCTGATGGGAAATGTTGGACTTTTTCCCTCCATTTTTTTGTTGGCCTTGAAAGAGAATTTCTATGGTGCAATCTCATGTTTATTTGAACAATTTAACTAGACTGTAGCAAGGATGTGAGAAGTTGGGGATATTTACTGTATCTTCTCTTATTTGAGATATCTGAGTAGACATGCTTTGGATTTTTCTCAAGGAGCCTAGTTGCCTTTTTTTAATCATCATTTTGCATCCTCGGTGTGGTTTATGTATTTATTTATCTAATCAATCTTATTTTGTACAAGAGCTTCCTCACTCATTTCTCTACTGTGGACAGATTATATTGATTCTGCTGGAATGAGGAGGAGAAGTTACAGCCCATCACCACCAAGAGGTTATGGCAGAAGAGGAAGGAGTCCAAGTCCCAGAGGTCGATATGCTGGTCATGGTAGAGATGGTCCGACTAGTCTTTTAGTTCGAAACCTTCGCCATGATTGTCGGTATGCACTAATGATTGTCCTCAAACTTATGATATGTTAGATTTGAAGTATTCCATGTCTTCCTTTTGCCACTTCATTCCTGTATTGCTATATCAGTTTTTAGTGATTTTGAGCTTGTAACTGATCATGTAGATATATTGATTCTTATCTTGATGCTATGTCCATAGTGAAGCTGGCCAAGATGACAAATTGTTGGTATAAGCAGAAACAGTTGTTGAAAAATCATGCAATGTTAATGATCAAGAAATATAATTGCGCTATTTCCCTTCATTGTATTACATTACCTGTAGACTTTTAGTACTTTTATAAATTGGTACCCCACAGTTTACTGCTTGCTTGCAGGCCAGAAGACCTCAGGAGGCCATTCGGGCAATTTGGCCCTGTGAAGGATATTTACTTGCCAAAGGACTACTACACTGGGTGAGCTTGTTTTGCATGTGATTATTCATCTGCTCAATTCTTCTGATCTCAGAAGGAAGAAGAAAGAATAAAAGAGCGGAGTATCTCTCTCTGACCAGTTACTCTCAAGTTTCATTCGCTGAAAAATAAATATTGAAGATTTTATTTTTAAAAGCACACGTTGTTTGGTAATATCCCCATTAATGCATTTGGCTAAATTTTGTTTGTCGGTGACACCATAAAGTTTTTTCCTTCTTAAAATTTGTTGGTTAATTTTTTTTGTTGTTAGAAACCGGCCTGTGCTTTTATTAAATTGTGAAATTTAGCAGCAAAACTAAGAGTCTTGAAGACTTCAATCAAGTAATAAGCATTCTGTTGACACATTGAAGTAGTAAGAGTTCTTGACGTCAATCAGGTAGTAAGAGTTGAAGGTGATATTAATGGTAGTGAAGATTTGAAGGAATTTGGATTTGAATACAATGTGAAGATTTCAAGATTTCAAGTCTTGAAGAATTTCAAGTCATCTTTAAACTGATACATTCAAGGTCAGCAGCCATGTGCTTGCTTATGTGTTTATGAAAGACATTATATTTTGGTGGGATTAATTGAAATTTGTGCTGTTTTTGACTTTTGTTACAGTTTAGGCTTGTTCTTTGCTTTCCTCAATATCTTTCTTAGAATCTAGTTCCCCTTTGTTCTTGATCAGTCCTTGTGGGGGTTTAGTGGAGTTGCTAGTGCTAGATAATTTGAGTTGTTAACCCTTGTTTGCCCTATGTTCACAGATTGGGTCTTACCTTTTAAACTCCAATCAGAGAACTGTAGCTAGGGTGCCTTGTATTCTGATCGCCTGCTGAACACCATATTGTTTAAGAAATCTCTGTTCTAAATCTGTTCTTGTGTTCCCGCCTTTTTAAACAGTGAACCACGAGGCTTTGGATTTGTCCAGTTTGTGGATCCTGCTGATGCTGCAGATGCTAAGTATCAGATGGATGGACAAGGTTTTCAAGGTCGGCAACTGACTGTGGTTTTTGCAGAGGAAAACAGGAAAAAACCTACTGAAATGAGATCTAGGGAACGCAGTGGAAGGTAATACTTTGTATTTCATTTGCTTATATCCACAGATGTCCATTAGAGTTCTGTCTTGAGTAGTCCTTATTGTCTCGTAAAGTGGCAGATGTTTCTTGTGTCTTTGATGCAAGTATTCTACTTTGGCTTTGATGTTTGAAAGTAAAACACTTGGTCTACATTATTATAAAATCATCTGTCCCTTCATCTCTCGTGTTATACCTATATTTTGTTCATTCCAGTTCTAATTCCTGCATTTTATAACCGCTGAAGATTGGCCGATTATTTTGGATTTGAATATTCATTTAGTTTGATTTTCTTATCAGTCATAGGAGTAGCCGCAGCTATGATAGGAGACGTACTCCACCTTCACGTTATGCAAGACCAGGATCACACAGCCGTGATTACTCTCCCAAGAGAAGGCCGTACTCGAGGTATGCAATATTACCTATATTTGTTGTTCGTTTTGTCAAAGAGTCTCTAGGTTGTTTATAAAGATGTGCTTCCAACAATCAACCAGGCATATCATACACTATCTTTGGTATAAATATGTGCTTCCAACAATCAACCAGGCATATCATACACTTATCTTTGGTATTAAGTTCATTTTTTTTGTTTTGCGTGCATCGTCTGATTCATATAGCTGATAAAGCATGCTGTTTGTTTTTATGAATACTATATCCATTGTTAGTTAAAATCATATTTTGAACTTGTTTTACTGCCTGCAAGTTGGTCCTTGGACGTTGATCAGACATTTTACAAATTTGCTTGCCTTGTGTACCCTCTTAGCTATTGTTTTAGCTCTTTTTTCACATCCTTTGGGACAACAATAAGTTATACAATGTATTTGTCTGTTTATCTCTATCCCACTTCTACATTTCAGGTCTGTCTCACCTGAAGAGAAAAGATACAGTCGTGAGAGGTCATATTCACGATCCCCTCCTCGGGACCTGTCTCCTCCACCACATAATGGATCAAGGAGTCGAAGTCAAACTCCAGTCAGAGAGCACCCACCATACAATGGCAGTCCAAGGAGCCGTAGCAGAAGTCCAGTTAGGAGGGAGCGTTCTCCAGTTAGGGGTCACAGCAGGAGCCCTAGTAGGAGCCGTAGCAGGAGCCCTGGTTGTGCTCCCTACTCACCATGATCCAAACTGCTATGTGTCTTCATGATTCTGAACTCTTTATGTCTTAAGTAGATGAATGCTGTAATATGGATCTATCTTTGGTGCTGTTTCTAAACTCGAATATCCGTTTTATGCGACTCTTTTTCTTTTTGATTCTGGGTATTTTTATGAGATCTATGTGGTAAACTCAATTCCTTCATGTGCTTCGTGTATGCATGGGAAAATGGATGCATTTTAGTTTGTCTCGTTTAAGGAGTTAAAACAGACAAGGAAATAAGTTTATTAGTAGAGACAAGCTTCATATCAGTGTGTGATATTGCAATTTTATACTTAATTTTTTGTTTCAATTAATTTTTTTCCATTAGTAAAATCAATAGTTAATTAGAAGCTGATGTCTCTTAACATATCCAATGAAATGAGATAATTTATAGCAACAAACTTCAATATCCAATTTGTGGGTTCATAAAATGCAACAAGAGAATGCATGACTCGTCTCACTGTCTCATGGTTTATGTGATTCACTAGTCCAATGACTTGATGTTATTTTATGTATGAAGTGTTCGTTTGGACAATGAAAATCGATATTGATTTGATGAGTTTTTACTCGTTCAATAAAAACTCGATAATGACCTAGCTGAGTTTTTACTTGTTCGATATTTAATTTGTTGTGTTTTTACTTGTTCAATGAAAGTCTGTTTGGAATAGACTCTGTTGCCATGATTACATGTTTTTTGTTCATGCCTTTTTTCCACGCTGTTGGAGAGAGAGGGTCTCGATGCGACATGTCATATGCCAACTAATGTGACATGGCACGTGAGTGGGTAAATTTTCATTTTATCGATTTTCGTGTGCTATATAGTCTATCTTTTTTGGTGATCTGCAATTTCAACGTGATTTTTGTCAAAATTTTACATAGACATCCGTTAAGACGTTATCTATGGAGTCAGTTGGTCACCACGACCAAAAAGACCCATTTTAGTGGCCAAAAGAGCCTAGAGCATCTAAACCCCCCATTTACACAATTTTCGTGTGCTATAGTCCTTCATCTTTTTAGATGATCCGAAATTTCGATCACGTCAAAATTTTGAATCATCAATAATCTTATTGACCTTATAAATGGAACCAATTCATCCCCGAAGGAAAAATTGTGCATTTAAAGTTCAAACGAGCCTCAGAGAAGAAAAAGACATATTTTTATCGATATTCGTGTGCTATAACCCATGGATTTTTTTATCCGAAAATTCTAACAAAATAACCAAAATTTTTCATGGACGTTCGTTAAGACCTTAGAGATGAAACAAGTACATCCCACCGGGAAAAATGGTTCATAACGAGTCCAAGAGTAGGCAAAGACAGATTTATCGATTTTCGTGTTCTATAGCCTATGAATTTTTTTGATCCAGAAATTCCAACACAAAATCGCTGAAATTTTTCATTGACGTCCGTTAAGACTTTATAAAATGAAATAAGTTCGTCCCGCATGGAAAAATAGTGCATTTTTAAATTCAAATTCGTGTGCGCTTATGGATTTTTTTTATTCAAAAATTTTGAAACAAAATAGCTGAAATTTTACATGGACGTCCGTTAAGAAATTAAAAACAGAACCAGTTCATTCCGTCGGAAAAAATGGTGCATTTTCAAGTTCAAACGAGCCCCAAAGCAGGCATAGACAAATTTTGGCTGATTTTCGTGTGCTATAACTCATGAATTATTTTTGATCCAGAAATCCCGCAACAAAATGACCAAAATTTTTCATTGACGAACGTTAAGACCTTAGAAATGGAATAAGTTCATCCCGCAGGAGAAAATAGTACATTTTCAACTTTAAACGAGCCACAAAACAGGTAAAGGTAGATTTTATCGATTTTCGTGTGCTATAGCCCATGATTTTTTTTTATTCCAAAATCTCGAAATAAAATGGACGAAAATTTTCATGGACGTTCGTAAAGACCTTAGAGATGGAACAAGTTCATCCCGCCGGGAAAAATGGTTCATAACGAGTCCAAATGTAGGCAAAGAGAGATTTACCGATTTTCGTGTTCTATAACCTATGAATTTTTTAATCCAGAAATTCCAACACAAAATCGCTGAAATTTTTCATGGACGTCCGTCAAAACTTTAGAAATGAAATAAGTTCATCCCGCATGAAAAAATAGTGCATTTTTAAATCCAAACAAGCCACAAAGCACACATAGACAAATTTTTCTGATTTTCGTGTGCTATATAGCCTATTGATTTTTTATTCAAAAAATTTGAAACAAAATTGCTGAAATTTTCCATGGACGTTCGTTAAGAAATTAGAAACGGAAATAGTTCATTCCGTCCGAAAAAATGGTGCGTTTTCAAGTTTAAACGAGCCCCGAAGGAGGCAAAGAGAGATTTTGGCCGATTTTCGTGTGCTATAACTCATGGATTATTTTTGATCCAGAAATCCCGCAAAAAAATGACCAAAATTTTTCATGGACGAATGTTAAGACCTTAGAAATGGAATAAGTTCATCCTGCGAGAGAAAATAGTACATTTTAAACTTTAAACGAGAACAAAGCAGGAAAAGGTAGATTTTATCGATTTTCGTGTGCTATAGCCCATGAATTTTTTTTATTCCAAAATCTTGAAATAAAATGGACGAAAATTTTCATGAACGTTCGTTAATACCTTAGAGATGGAACAAGTTCATCCCGCCGAGAAAAATGGTTCATAACGAGTCCAAGAGTAGGCAAAGACAGATTTACCGATTTTCGTGTCCTATAGCCTATGAATTTTTTTTATCCAGAAATTCCAACGCAAAATCGCTGAAATTTTTCATGGACGTTCGTTAAGACGTTAGAAATGAAATTAGTTCGTCCCGCATGGAAAAATAGTGCATTTTAAAATTCAAACAAGCCACAAAGCACACAAAGACAAATTTTTCTGATTTTCGTGTGCTATTGCCTATAGATTTTTTTATTCTTAAATTTTGAAACAAAATTGCTAAAATTTTACATGGACGTCCGTTAAAAAATTAGAAACGAAACCATATCATTCCGTCGGAAAAAATGGGTGCATTTTCAAGTTTAAACGAGCCCAAAGCAGGCAAAGACAGATTTTGGCCGATTTTCGTGTGCTATATCTCATGGATTATTTTTGATCCAGAAATCCTGCAACAAAATGACACAAAATTTTTCACGGACGAATGTTAAGACCTTAGAAATGGAAAAAGTTCACCCGGCGGGAGAAAATAGTACATTTTCAACTTTAAACGAGCCACAAAGCAGGCAAAGGTAGATTTTATCAATTTTCGTGTGCTATAGCCCATGGATTTTTTTTATTCCAAAATCTCGAAATAAAATGGACGAAAATTTTCATGGACGTTCGTTAAGACATTAAAGATGGAACAAGTTCATCCCGCTTGGTAAAATGGTTCATAACGAGTCCAAGAGTAGGCATAGACAAATTTACCGATTTTCGTGTTCTATAGCCCATGAATTTTTTTGATCCAGAAATTCAAACACAAAATCACTGTTGTTTTTTTATGGACGTCCGTTAATACGTTAGAAATGAAATAAGTTCGTCCCGCATGGAAAAATAGTGCATTTTTAAATTCAAACAAGCCACAAAGCACACAAAGACACATTTTTCTGATTTTCGTGTGCTATAGCCTATGAATTTTTTTTTATTCAAAAATTTTGAAACAAAATTGATGAAATTTTACATGGACGTCCGTTAAGAAATTAGAAACAGAACCAGTTCATTCCGTCGGAAAAAATTGTGCATTTTCAAGTTCAAACGAGCTCCGAAGTAGGCAAAGACAGATTTTGACCGATTTTCGTGTGCTATAACTCATGGATTATTTTTTATCCTGAAATCCCGCAACAAAATGACCAAAATTTTTCAAGGACGAACGTTAAGACCTTAGAAATGGAATAAGTTCATCCGGCGGGAGAAAATAGTACATTTTCAACTTTAAACGAGCCACAAAGAGGGTAAAGGTAGATTTTATCGATTTTCGTGTGCTATAGCCCATGATTTTTTTTTATTCCAAAATTTCGAAATAAAATGGATGAAAATTTTCATGGACGTTCGTTAAGACCTTAGAGATGGAACAAGTTTATCCCGCCAGAAAAAATTGTTCATAATGCGCATGGAAAAATAGTGCATTTTTAAATTCAAACAAGACCAAAGCACACAAAGACAAATTTTTCTGATTTTCGTGTGTTATAGCCTATGAAATTTTTTTATTCAAAAAATTTAAACAAAATTACTAAAATTTTACCTGGATATCCGTTAAGAAATTAGAAACGGAACCAGTTCATTCCGTCGGAATAAATGATGCATTTTCAAGTTCAAAAGAGCTCCAAAGTAGGCAAATACAAATTTTTACCGATTTTCGTGTGCTATAACGCATGGATTATTTTTGATCCAAAATCCCGCAACAAAATGACCAAAGTTTTTTATGGAGGAACGTTAAGACCTTAGAAATGGAATAAGTTCATTCCGCGGGAGAAAACAGTACATTTTCAACTTTAAATGAGCCACAAAACAGGTAAAGGTAGATTTTATCGATTTTTCGTGTGCTATATCTGATGAATTTTTTTTATTCCAAAATCTCAAAATAAAATGGACGAAAATTTTCATAGACGTTTGTTAAGACCTTTGATATGGAACAAGTTCACCCCGCCAGAAAATATGGTTCATAACGAGTCCAAGAGTAGGCAAAGACAGATTTACCGATTTTCGTGTTCTATAGCCTATGAATTTTTTTGATCCAAAATTTCCAACACAAAATTGCTGAAATTTTTCATGGACGTCCGTTAAGACTTTAGAAATGTAATAAGTTCGTCCCGCATGGAAAAATAGTGCATTTTTAAATTCAAACAAGCCACAAAGCACACAAAGACAAATTTTTCTGATTTTCGTGTGCTATAGTATATGGAATTTTTTTATTCAAAAATTTTGAAACAAAATTGCTGAAATTTTACATGGACGTCCGTTAAGAAATTAGAAACGGAACCAGTTCATTCCGTCAGAAAAAATGGTGCATTCAAGTTCAAACGAGCCCCGAAGTAGGCAAAGACAGATTTTGGCCGATTTTCGTGTGCTATAACTCATGATTTATTTTTGATCCAGAAATCCCGCAGTAAAATGACCAAAATTTTTTCATGGATGAACGTTAAGACCTTAGAAATGGAATAAGTTCATCCCGCGGGAGAAAATAGTATATTTTCAACTTTAAACGAACCACGAAGCAGGTAAAGGTAGATCTTATC